TAACCTTGGCCCGATCTGTGCCTTGCCACAATTCTGTTTCTGAGCTCTTCAGGCAGTTCCTTTTGACCTCATGATTCTCATTTGCTCTGACATGCACTGTGAGCTGTAAGGTCTTATATAGACAGGGGTGTGGGTTTCCTAATCAAGTCCAATCAGTATAATCAAACACAGCTGGACTCAAATGAAGGTGTAGAACCATCTCAAGGATGATCAGAAGAAATGGACAGCACCTGAGTTAAATATATGAGTGTCACAGCAAGGGGGTCTGAATACTTTCCGTATATATATATTTTTTTTTAAAAGGAGTTTTTCTCTATTTTAATAAGATTTTTTTTATTAAAAGAATATATTCTATTTCTAAACTTTTTTTCTATTTTTATTTTTTAATTAATTAATTTGTATTAAATTTAAATACAATTTAAATGTATTAAGTTGTAACTTATTTATTTAATGGAAAAGCTGAATTTCAGCAGTCATTACTCCAGTCAGTTCAGTGTCACATGATCCTTCAGGCATCATTCTAAATTGCTAATTTGGTCTGGAAACGTTTCTTATTATTATCAATGTTGAAAAAAGTTGTGTTGCTCAGGATTCTTTGATGAATAGAAAGTTCAAAAGAACAGCATTTATTGATTGATTGATTGTTTGAAATAATGTTAAAGTCTTTACCATCACTTTTGATCAATTTAATGCAACTTTGCTGAATAGAAGTGTAATTTTTTCTTTTAAAAAAAGCTTTTGAACTGTAGTATAAGTGCGACTTGTTTCCATGTTTCAGACTTCCATCTTTCAAGTTTCCATCTTTGGTTTATCCAGTTAGATCTTATTTGATTCTTCAATTCTTTGAATCCCTTCCAAATAAAAAAAAAATTGCATTCCTTTTTGACATGGTTGCGGCGCCCGGGGAGCATTTGGGGGATCGGTGCCTTGCTTAAAGGAACACGCCACTATTTTTGAATACAGTCCTCAAAAATGACCAAAGAGTTTCGATATTTTTCCTATTTAAAACTTGACTCTTCTGTAGTTACTTCGTGTACTAAGACCGACGGAAAATTTGCAATTTTCTAGGCCGATATGGCTAGGAACTATACTCTCATTCCGGCGTAATAATCAAGGAACTTTGCTGCCGTACCATGAGTGCAGCAGGCGCAATGATATTACGCAGCACCTGAAAATAGTCCCCAGCTAGGTAATAGGAAAAATATTGAAACTCTTTGGTCATTTTTGAGCGAGATGCTAACGGTCTAATCAGATTCAATGATCTATGCTAAGCTACAGCTAAAAGTGCTACCGCCAGACCCGGACATCGGCTGAATGGATTCGAAAATGGTAAAACTCAACTGTTTAACTGTAGGGGATTTGGAAAATGAGCCTATTTTCAAAAATAGTGGCATGTTCCTTTAAGGGAATCCATGCCAATACCGAGACTTGAACTCGCAACCTTTCGGGTTAGAAGTCTGACGCGCTAACCATTAGGCCACAACTGCCCCTCTGTGTTTTCTGTTTGACAGTCCTTTAAGAACCTTTGCACTTTCTTCCCAGCTAATAGGCTGTATAATCGGGCGCCAGGGAACCAAAATCAACGAGATCCGTCAGATGTCTGGAGCACAAATCAAAATAGCTAATGCCATGGAAGGGTCATCAGAGCGCCAGATCACCATTACAGGAACCCCCGCCAACATCAGCCTTGCCCAGTACCTCATCAACGCAAGGTGAGCCCATCACTGTTCCACAAAAGTGTTGCCATTTTCTTCCAAACTGCAGTAACGTAGCTTTTTTTAATGGTGTTCCAACTCAACACAGTTTTTTAAAAGCAGCTCAGAAAGGATCTTCACACTGTGTACAGAGTAGTGTGTTTGGTGATGTTGAGGCTTGCAGGGTAGCGGCTGGGGCGATACTAATGCATATTGCTTTCCCACGATTCTGATGGCAGGTTCAGAGACGTGGCCGCCATGTGGAATGACCCCTCATCAATGACTACATCCTGAAGCCTCAAACTGCTTTCATTATCTGAAGCTATCAGCAGCTGATTCCCAATAAACGTTATATATACAATCTTCCCTTAGAACTCACCAACCTTACCCTTAAACCCCATGGTCAACTTCATCAATAGCTAAATTCATGTAGACAGACTACTGAAAAAAAAAGGAGGCCAACTGTAGTATGATTTGTTTATGTTATGCAGTGTTTTAGTATAGTATTTTAGCATGCTGAATGCTTGGGTCTTGTTATATATCTATTTATTATTTTTAATTTGTTAGATTAGTTCAGTGTGGTTGCTGCATAATAATTCTTGTAGTTTGACGGCAAAGATTAAAAAAAAAATAGATTGCATCCAATAGCATTTTCTAGCAATGCTGTTGGCAAGGAGCTAGTGATGTGATGCAGATGTTGCAATGAAGTACAAATGCATGTCAGAATCGAGGAGATGTTGGAAACTGTTTCTTTAGAAGCGGAAAAGATTTTATTTTTACATTTGACAGGAGCTTGATTGTTTTCAGCTTAACCGAATCGACAGTAATGCATGCTTATTACTCGACGTGGAGAGCAACAAGGTGGAAAAAGCTATCATTCTTGTACAGAAGTGTCAAATGCTTTCAGAATTATTTTATGTTATCTATTTTTTTCTATCTTTTCCTTACCCCTTCCCTTTTTCCTCTTCCCTTAACTATTCTAGGCTGACGTCTGAGGTCACTGGAATGGGCACTCTCTAATTTCTACCCATGATCCTTCACTGCATCACATGACCCTTGAGCCAATGGCATTGCACCTAGTTTGTTTTATCTCTGTAGTTTTGCTGTCCTGTATTTTCAGTAATTCTGACTCATTTCTGTTCTATAATGTGCACATATTTAAAATCTCAGTTTGATATTACTCCTACTCAGCCTTTGTTGTGCTCCTGATGGTCCTTTAATTATTACCTTATAATTATTTTAAAAGACACTTTAATTTTTTTGACTCTCTAGTACCTCATGTCCTGTTTTGCCATAGCTTTAACTGTGAATTCACATTTTCTGGTCCGTATTCTGTGGTGTGGTACAGCAAAGCCAATGAAATCCTCCACTTTCCAATCTTTCATTAGGTTAGAATGAGTTTGTAATTTTAAAAGCAGTGGTCCTGTGCTTTGCTCACTGGGTACCTTACAACAGTGCATCTCATACATGAATAATGAAACCAACTGATGGAGTTGGAATGTTTGCACCACGCCTGTACGATTTGTCTGCATCTGTCATTGTGGCATGCGGAGTAACACAGAGAATCCATTATTAGTTTCTTGTATTCACTTTCAGAACCGAGAGGAAGAAGAAAATAATATGAGGATGTATAAGCCGTGCTCACAGCTTTACTGCATGCTGAGACATTTCAATTCAGCCTACAATCTAAGTTTAATTAATTGAATCTATTACAGCAGAATTATTTATAGACTATTTTTATAAGCAACATGTTTTTGCAGTATTATGGAAAATACAGGGGCTTTATTCCTTTGGAAGTGAATACAGATGTGCTGATAATGAAATCCGCCCCATGCTCCTCTACCATACGCTTTCTCTGTGAGTATGGTAAATCCTCACGAGGGGTCCAAAATGAACTTTTTCCCACATTTTGGATTAACATGTTTACCTGCCATGGAACTGTATTTTCCCACCATTTTTGGGATCTGCACCACGGGCCTCATTTTTAAAATGCGCTTACGATCGGATTTGATCCTAAATTCCATGGATTTTATCCTAAATCAAACATGAGGAACAAATCAGGATTTAAAAAGGCAAAAACGAATGTGGAAATGTTTTTATTTTTAGGATTCGCACCAGGGTCTTGTTTGTAAAACGCACTTATGATTAGATTTGATCCTAAATTCCATGGATTTCATCCTATGTCAAACGTGAGCAACAAATCTGCATTTATAAAGGCAAAAACTGACGGGAAAATATTTGAATGCGTATGCCAGAGCATGCATAGAAACTTTTTGCGCTCATATATATTCCAGAAAATAAAATAATAATTGTTTCAACATTGACACATATGCACACACATATATATATATATATATCGAGTGTGTCTCCTCCTGCTGATGTAGCCTTACTGATCAGCTCTAATAATATTTTTCTCACGACTTTAAACTATTTATGTTGCATGTTATGCTGTGATTAATTATTATTAAGACAGACTGTGTACACTATTAATGATGCATTCAGATTCTTTCCCATTATTTTATCCAGCAGTTGGCACCTTCAATAATAATTTCATCCCTGATCATACAGCTATGTTTTTTTTTGAAGAAGAAGAAGATTGTGTAATTTCTGCGGCACAAAACAATCTGGTAACACTTTAGTATACAGACCAATTCTCACTATTAACTAGTTGCTTATTAGCATGCCTGTTATTAACATATTGGCTATTTATAAAGCACATATTCTGCATGACCATATTCTACATCCCTAATCCTACCCAATACCTAAACTTAACAACTACCTTAATATTAATAAGCAGCAAACTTGGAGTTTATTGAAGCAAAAGTCATAGTTAATGGTTTGTTAATAGCAAGAATTGGACCTTAAAATAAAGGTATGTTTCTTTAAGCGGCCTGACTGGCATGAGATGTTGAAATAAATGTGAAGATGCTCTGGGTCGGTGTGGTACATGCATCTCATAACTCAATTATAATTAAGACCTGATGGCATTGAAGTGCTTTTCAAGTCTGGAGACCTTAAAAATGAATGTGTAGTGCCGTATATCCTATCTGTTGTATTGTAAATACCTGTGGAGAAATTCTCATGGCTTGTATATTTAAGATGCTACAAAAAATGAGTTACCTTCCCTCTAAAATGTATGTGTCATGCCATGCATGTTGAAGATTAGCAGCAAGGCACTCAATTTGTTATGTTTCCAAACAAAGCCTGTTTAGTCAGTGTACTCAGGCATTTCATTCTTTGACTTCCATTCAGACAGACAGGGGAATGATTGAAGTCATTATTTTTGCAATTTTGTTCGTTGCCGCTGGTGGCGCAGAAATTACACACTTCAATTCTCACCCCAACAAAACTGTCAGTGTTGTGTTGCTATAGTTAGGCAATTAATTTCCAGTACTGAAGCCCTCTGATTATGCTCTGAGCGTTTCCCAATTTTTCCTGAAGATTGCGACCAAGCTGAAGTCATGTTGAGTTCCCCTTTTATCAAAATCTGAACTTTTTCAGTCAGCAATCAATGTGTATTTCATCCTCCACATTTAAATGTGTAAAATGTGGTATTGAGGCTGAAAGTTGAATGTAACTGCTTCAACGTGATTCATTATTCAATCTTACCTTTCTTACCATTTTCCAGTTGCATGGTTTTTACATGTAATCATGCACTAAAAGAAACTATTTTCTTTCACGGTCTTATTACAGGTAATTATGGAAGCGTGTTTCTGCCAAGGGATAAAAATAAATAAATAAAAAAGGTAATGGCAGCTTTTTATCTCACAATTTCCATCACAGTTTTGAGTTTATTTTTCATCATTTTGACTTTTTTTCTCAGGCTTGTGCGATTATAAACTCAGAATTTGAACTCTTCTGAGAAGAAAAATCAGAATTGTGAGATTTAAACTCCAAAGTCAGAGGGAAAAAGGCAGAATTAGGAGATGTAAAATCAAAATTCAGAGAAAAAGAAGTCAGAATTGCGAGACAAAAAGTCAGAATACTGAGTTTGTATCATTTATACTGCAAGAAAAAAAGTCTGAATTGTGAGATTAAAGTCACAATTACCTTTTTATGTTTTATTCCATGGTGAAAACAAGCTTCTATTAAAAAATGCATTCTTTTTTATTTAATCAGGTACAAAACCATGCATTTGCAAAGCATTGAAATTATAAAGATATATATTTCTATATTTCTATTTGGTATCTGTTAAGCAGTATCACTGCAGCCAAATCACAGATATGCACCCACGAAATCATTTACACCAAAATCTGACACTGTATGATTTAATGTCTGTTATGAGCACATAATTTTTATAATATTGGACTCGTAAAGGCATGCACATGGCCATGCTGAGCCATCCGTGCACATGGCCGTAAATGATGTCATACTGTTCCTTTAAAATAGCTCATTTATCTGGAATTATTCAGCACATTTTGTTGGTGTTTTAGATTCAGCGTTCAGTTTCTTGTCATCACATTTACCATGTTTTGCACTGCTTTGAAATGTAATATTTGTGTAAGTGTCTTAGACTCTTGTTAAACATTAAGTTAGATTGTATGTTTACACAAGGTTATGTCTTGTGATACATGTATGGAATGTTTTATTTGATGTTATGTTTAGTTCATAATGTGCTGTACTCTAGATCACTGTACAGATGCATATTAATATTCAGACAGCCGCATGCGTAACTTTGACATTTCTCAGTAGCAGAATGCTTCAGGCTTTTGTTATTTTTTATTACTATTGTTATGACTATTATTTTACAAATGCAATAAAAATAAATGTTCGTATAGGACTACAGTGAAGTGTCGAAAATGATTAACTGTTTGGTGGAAAACTCAGTACTCCATTACAAACGGCTTTTGTATTTTTTCATGTGTCATCTCAGCCCGACCTCATGATATTCACATGATGTTGTTCTCATGCAAATCATGGGGTTAATTTGCACTCATCATTTTAACACGCATTAATTCACACTGTGCACATCTAAAATCATTGCATTCATTTTGTTGGTCATGTAGTTTTTTCATTGTACTAGAGCAGCAAAAAAACTAACAAAAAAGCCCTCTACCCGAAAATGATTAACTGTTTGGTGGAAAACTCAGTACTCCATTACAAACGGCTTTTGTATTTTTTCATGTGTCATCTCAGCCCGACCTCATGATATTCACATGATGTTGTTCTCATGCAAATCATGGGGTTAATTTGCACTCATCATTTTAACACGCATTAATTCACACTGTGCACATCTAAAATCATTGCATTCATTTTGTTGGTCATGTAGTTTTTTCATTGTACTAGAGCAGCAAAAAAACAAACAAAAAAAGCCCTCTACATGTCTGTGCTTCTGTAAACGATTCTGTTTGGGAAAAAATGTAACAGAGTAATTATTTTATGTTGGACAATATGCTGCTTGCAGGTCTATATTAGATTCAAATGACCGCTGAGGTTAGCTTAAACTTTGAAACATTTTGTAAAAAGGAGAGAATAAAGTTTGTTTTCCCTTGAATTTTTGTGATGACTTTTTTATTAATATTTATATTAGTTAATTGGTTTGACATGATGGAAATTAAACAGGGCTTGGGGCCTTTTTTCAAGTCAAATCAAGTCAAAGATTTATTTAGAGAGCACATTTATCAAACACAATATATAATACTAAAAACACAATATACTGTATAAATAGAATAAGATAGATAGATAGATACTTGAATCATAAATCTAAATACATATATTGTAATGGTAAGCTGCTGTATAATATGAAAAAAGAAAATTATAATAAATTTAGTGGAGCACTTATTGTCATATGTCAATTAGTTGACTACTGTATTTGATGTTTTTTTTTTCTTTTACAGATTTTTATAATTGTTAAGACTGAGGATTTCTTAATTTAAATAATTGTAAGTATTTTACATAAATATATGGCATACATTTTATATGGCTGTTTTAGATGATTGGAAAGAAAATGAGCTTATAATAAAGCTTATCACAATGCACTTTGTCCAATCCTTTTACCACTAGAGGTCGCTAAATGTTGTAATTAGCTTCATGTAATTTGACCTGTACGTGATATTGCTTAAAAAACAGTGCAACCAGATGTTCTTTTACTTAATATTTAGAATAAACTATATATATATATATATATATATATGTGTGTGTGTGTGTGTGTGTGTGTATATGTAGGTATGTATGTATGTATATATATTGACATGAGTGGGAATGAAATATATATATATATATACATACAGTATGTTTTGAAATATTTTATTTTTGTGTGAACATTTCCTTTAACAACTATTCATGCATGGCTTTAAATGTTGCATAAACATTCTGTCTGTCAACAGCACCTGAACTGGCTGAACCTGTGGTTTTAAAGCATTACCTATAATATCCCTGTTTGTCTTTTGAGTACATTAGCTTTTCAATGCAAGGTCGTTCATCCACCTTCTCCTCCCATTTCCCATTTGTCCAGCCCTCTGCGTAGCTCTGCAGCACAAGGATCTGGTCAATGAAGGGACCTCCAGACTCTGAGATCAATAATAAAGACACAAAACGTGGGAATGATAATTGAGTCTCAGCT